CTTGCTTCAATCCTTCTCCATTTATATCTGCCCGGCGAGCGTTCGCGGGCGAGCGTACGCGTAATTTGCAACTCGACGAGCATGTGAAAAATCGTAGTTAAGTATTTCTATAACAAGTAGAGAGAGACCCATAATCCGGAGAATCCACGACTTCTCGATGAATGATGTTATTCTTTTTCACGCGCTAGCGTTGGCATGGCCTGGTTTCACCGTTAACCATATTGTTGAGAAATTGCACCAACTCTTTCCTAAAGTTATAATAACCATTAAAACGCGCCGACGCGTTCCGTCGGCGGGTCGACGAGTGGCCGTTCGCCATTTTCTGGGACCAACCGTGGGCATTTTCGGTTTTCAGGACCATGTCAACGATCTGCTTCGTGTGCAACCTGCCGATCCTGAGCCATCAGGTGTGCCTGGAATGGAAGGGTGGGAACGGATGGGACGACCTCGTGCGCGAACAGGTGGAGGAGTCCACTTTGAAGCAACGACTCGGTGAGAACTTTGTAGTCTTTCCTCGTATTGATTTGGCTAGTTTCTGTTATTTTAACTTTTATTATTTGCATGCTTTGTTATTTAAGTTTTTATTGTTTGAACGCTTCGTTATTTGAACTTTTGTTATTTAAATTTTCATTATTTGAACGTTCTGTTGTTTGAACGCTTTGTAATTTAAACTTTTTTTATTTAAATTTTCATTATTTGAACGTTCTGTTATTTAAACTTTTGTAATTCGAACTTTTGTTATTTAAATTTTTATTATTTGAAAGTCTTGTTATTAAAACTTCTGTTATTTAAATTTTCATTATTTGAACGTTTTGTTATTTGAACTTTTATTATTCAAACGTTTTATTATTTGAATGTTTTATCATTTGAGCGCTTTATAATTGAACGCTTTGTTATTTGAACTTTTTGTTACTTGCATGCTTTGTTATTCGAACGCTTCGTCATTTGAACGTTCAATTATTTAAACATTTTGTTATTCGAACGAATAATAGTATTTAATTAATCCAGGAACATTTCCCAAAACAATTTTCTTCTTAAAAAGAAGAAATTAATTCGTTTTTAATCAGGAACCGGAAGACGCGACTCAACTACACAGATCTCGCCGCCGAACGAGGCTCATGACGCGCTGCCGACAAATCAGCGCCGTCGCCGGTCCAGTTTGGCCCAGCTGACGGATATCCTGAGGGAACTGAGCGGCGGCAGCGGTTCCGGGAAGGCCAACCGCGGGAACAAGCTCTGTCGACGCGAGACGCTGGCGGACATCGCGAAGTCCATGCGCTGGTCCAGGCAAACGACGGACGCGAGTCACTTGGAGAGACTTCGCAAACGACGAGAGAGCTCCGTGGATAGCAGGATCACGAGCCAGGCGTCGACAAAATCGAGAAGGGAGTCGACGATCACCGACCTGAAGAACGATATCGTTAAACTATGGAGCAAGAAGAACACGACTCAGCAGCAGCAGCAAGCGCCGAAAGTCATTTCACCTACACCTCGACGCGGTACGTTGAGTTAAAAAAAATGTTTCATTAGAACGATGCACATATTCATATGCAGGGTGTCCCGCGACTCATGGTCAACCGATTAGGAGGTTATTCTACATGTAAAAATGAGTCGAAACAATAAAATAAAATTTTTCCTGCGAGTCTTCGTTTTCGAGAAGATCGAAGTCGAAAATTTAATCGGTACCTGTACACTCGGTACACGTCGACTTTGTGCATCTCATTATACACTCTTGTTTTGATTCTTATTTGTATTTAAAGACATAGTAATGACAAAGTGCGTATACCGCTCTTGATAGCGAAGCAGCACTCAACTTACCCTCGCACGCTGCAAGTGCGAGAATCATATTCGTATACTCATTATTCGAATAAGCTGCCATATTGAGAAACTGTTAGATACTGAATAATTATACCGCTAATAGAATAGCACGAACGATAAAATATCAACCGAGGTCATTACTATATCTTTAACATGTTGTATGTCATGAGGGCCACCGGTGACCCCCAGCCAAATCGAATTACTGTAATTCAATCAATTAAACGACGATTATTTAGAAATATTTCTATATTATAAATAATGCTACCTAATGTGGTGATATTCAGCTGGATGAATGTGCGATAATAATTACGCAATTCAATCAAATGATTTAATATTATATTTTTCCCATTTTGTGTATTTTACTCTATGAAATCGTGCGGCGTTCATTTCTTCGACATCGATTTTCTCGAAAACGAAGACTCGCAGGAAAAAATGTTATTCCATCCTTTCGACTCATTTTTACATGTAGAATGACATCATAATTGACTGACCATGAGTCGTGGGATACCCTGTATTTTTGGATGCATTGCTAAATGTATTATTGAAATTATGGATTAATACGTTAACTGCCACGGTGGTCGGTGACCGGAGTTTCCCAATTGCTTGAAGACAATTACAATGAGAAAATTGCTGAATCAAAATATTCAGTAACACAAGAAGCTAGATAATAGTGTAATACCAAATCATTAACAATTATTTCTAATACTATTTTTCTGTATTATAAAGGAAGAAATCTTACTATAACGAAACGCTCGAAATTCTCGTGGCAGTCAACGTGTTAACATTGAAAATGAAAAATTTGTATGTAGGTTGAGTTAGAATCGATAACGTTTAACTCAGCCTATATACAAACGTGTAATTTTCAACTTTAATTAGAACAGTAGTTGGATTATTGGTTGAAATTGAAAGTAAATCAGACGTTAATACAGTATAATTTAGTGTAACGGAGTATCTGTAATATAATTATTCAGTGCAACGAGAAGTTTGTGTTAACCCTTTGCGCTCCTATGTCGAGCGTGACTCGACATCAGTTTTATTCACAGGTGTACTTGTTTGTCAAGATATTTGTAAAATAGATTATATTATTCTGTTATTTTCAATATTATTAGTAAGAAGAATCGTTTACACTGATCTCTACAAACTATTTTGTAAAATGCATTTCAAATCAAATATCGTAATTATAGAGTTATCGAGGAAAAAGTGCAAAAGAAATTCGGAGTGCAAAGGGTTAACAGTTTCTAGTTTAATTGAATAGAAATCTGTCGAGACAATAAGAAAACTGTATGAGGTTAGAGGACAATTAAATTTAGTAATTGAGAGTTATATATGGAATTCTGGTTGAAATTCTGTGAAACAATTATTCCATCAATTATGATAAATTGATTAAATTGAATTGTGTTTAAATGAAATATTATCTTGAGATATAAGATTGAGTTAAATTGATTGAAGCTTGGTTATTTTAGATTCCGAGTGTTCGAGGAATTCGCGACGTGGTTCAGGGGAAAGCGCAAGATCTAGAAGAGACTCAGTGGTCGCTGGACAGACCCCTAGTCCTGGTGAACGGAAACACAACTGCCGGCACCATAGACGCAGACAATCGCAGCAGTCAATGGACGGCAGCACTGTCGTGACGCCGCCGAAATATGACAGACTCGATCAAAGACCAAGTGCCTCTAGCACCGATAGCACTGGCAGTAACGCTATCAGGTATGTTATAATTGACTGACAATCCGATGCTGGCCTGTAATTTCGACTGTGATTTCGATAATAACCTGTCACTAGCTGAGGGTCTATTCTCTGGAATATATTAACTGAATTATCTTTGATAAGAATATATTCACTCAATTATCTACGATAAGAAGTTGCTAATAAGGAAATAGTTTAAAGACAAGATGTCCCTAATGAAAACTATTCGATCAAAAGTAAAAAGGAATTAATCAATAAGCACTCAAGAATTAAAAAATAAAAGAAATAAAGAATATTTGAGATATAAATTGCTATTCGATTATTCTCGTATAAATTTGAGAAATTTCTAATTATACAAGCATCCACGACGTGTCCTAACGTTATAAATCCAATAAATTAATCAATAACAATTATACACCGATGTACCTATTCTACTAAATTATTAATATTTTAATCATTAACGTTATCATTATTCAATCAATTCCATTACCACGACTAACCAAATAAATTAAAATAATTCAACTAGTCATTAACGTTATCATTATTCATTAAATTCCATTAACACGACTAACCAAATGAATTAAAATAATTCAACTAGTCATTAACGTTATCATATTCAATCAATTCCATTAACACACCTGCGTACACGACTTAAAATAATTCAATTCACTTAATCAACACTCCGTGTTACAGAGAACACTTAGAAACCAGAAGCTCGATAGAAAAATGCGACCGGTCGAGCAGCATCGAGAAGCCAAGTCTGACAGTCGACACCAAAACTGTCACGCTGACTACCACAACCACCACTACCACGACGTCCACCATCAATGGTAAGACGCCGGTCACCTCGTCCGTCGAATTAAAGACGTCAACGATGTCAACCTCGACGATGGCCACCATGACATCCATGTCTACCACATTGGCTCCCGACAGCAAATACTTGAGCCTAGAATCGTCGATCACTCCCCCAACGATCGTCATGTCGTCGGTGACACCTCCGTCGATCTCGCCGACGGCTGGCAGAGTCCTTCCGCTTCCGGGAACTTCGACATCCGGCGGCTCCAGTCCCGTCAGCTCGCCCAACGTCAACACGCCGACGCATCCTTTAGCCAGTACCAGGAGAGACTCGACTACTCAGGTGGAGCATCGAGGATTTTTCATTGACCTTTTGCACTCCAATGGCCACTCGATTTAACAGTAAATCTACCGAGCAGTTAAATTGACTTTTTGAAATTCCTCTGTAGCAATTCCAAGAGTATCTATAAGAGAGTTTAATTGATTTACAATTCAGTTTGCGTATCGCTAAATCAATTTCTTGAATAATTTCTCACAGAAATATCTGTTATCTTTTTAATAATTGCAAAAAGACGAAATCAGAAATGGATCATTTTGACCCGTCTGGTAGGTTTAGTGTTAGCACAAACTACCGGACAGGACAAAATGACCTATCCCTGATGTCTCCTTTTGCAATTATTAAAAGGATGATAGATGTTTCTCTGAGGGATTGTTAAAGAAATTGATTCAGCAATATGAAAACTGAATTGTAAATCAGTTGAAGTATAAATAGATGCACTCCTGAAGTTTTTTACAGAGAAATTTCAGAAAGTCAATTTAACACATTGAGCGCCGGTGACCTAGGAGACATTTAAAGCCTGAGCGCCGGCAACGTATCGGCCACTTAAAGCCCAAACGCCGGCCTCACTCGCTTGTAGCTGATCAATGAGTAGCCAAAAAAAAATATTCAAAACATTATACTTTTGTAAAATAGTACGATTTTATAGATGCAATTTTAATTGCATATTCGTCATATACAATTTAACGGAAATGAAAAATAGAAATAAAATCGAAATTTTTAATTTATAATTATAGAAAAAAATACAGGTTTTTATTTCACGGTGGATTATTACATATATATAACATAAACACAAAACAAAAATATTAATATTTAATTTTATTGCGAGACCCGCGAGAGATAGGCTCAGAATCTCGCGTTTTCACGGGGTCGGCGCTCAATGTGTTAATTGTAGTTGGTAGTTTAGTGTTAACCCTAGAACTACCGAACATTTATTGGGGTTGATGTGTAATCCTTATAAAGATTGTAATAATATATTTTTCGATTTCTTCAGACATTTGTTATAATATTTAAGCGAAACTATTTGTTCTCAACATTTTGTTTCGACTTCTTTAGACATTTGTTAGAATATTTAAGTGAAACAATTTGTTGCTAACATTTTGTTTCGATTTCTTTAGACATTTGTTATAATATCTCAATAAAACTGTTTATTTTCGTAATCATTTCGGATATTCGATACCTTTAAAATATCGATAATTGCAGAATAAGGAAACTAAAACCAGGTATTCTTATGGCTACGGTAGTTCTAGTGTTAATATACACGAAAATATAAAATTTATTACTTAATATCAAGCTTTGTGTAATGCAGCAATATGTGAAATATTGAACCAACGAGAAGTTCGATACGTAATCAAGGAATATTGTCTGTACCTCTGTCGAAAATGTTGAATAGTTTTAGTCAAATGCTTTTGGAGTACAAAGGGTGAATTAACCCCTTGCGCTGTTATTTATGTTTCAACTGTGATCGGTACAACTACTTCATCATTAATAATTTATTCTTCCGTTTATTTAAAGCGTAATACTCGACGAGAGAAAAATAATATTTAATTTTAATTCAGAAGAATTGAGTGACATTTATGTTTGTTAAATTTTGTTTAAAATTTAATATTTAAGGTAATACGAAATCGTGCGAAATAATGTAGTAAAGTTCAAAAACTATCTCTCATTGTTTACAACATTCAACTTCGCAAGATATAAAACTCTAAACAGTTTAGAAGAAATATTAAGAAGTGAAAGTAGTACAAGTACGCACATAGTCAGCCACTACACCGAAACGCCAATTATACAAGAAAATCACGAACAGATTATTCAAATTTGCTTTCTTATCGAGTGAAAACATAACATAAAATAATGAATTCACAACAAAAGCTTTCGCTTCCTCACAACCTATACATTTACACAATAAGTGTATAAAATTCTCGATCACACACACACTGGTCTACTAAAATATTTAAAAACGATATATTTATACTTATTACAACTTATATATTCACTTAAACTTATTTTCAATAAATATAGGTAGAGATGTTAATAATTTTTAAATAATATTCCTACCTATAATAAAAATAATTTACCTATAATACCATTTAAATAGTACTTCCAATAGAGATAAAAACATTAATAATATTTTCACTTATTTCCACCTAATATAAATATAAACATTAATAACATCTAAATATTATTTTCACCCAATAGAGATAAAATAATTAATAACATCTAAATATTATTTCCATCCAATAGAGATAAAAAAATTACTAACATTCTCACTTATTTCCACCCAATATAAATATAAACATTAACAACATTTAAATCTACTTCCACCTAATAGAAATATAAACATTAATAACATCTAAATATTATTTCCACCCAATGCAACCAACGTAACAACCACATGCAATTGACTAAATTCAAATCGATCTTGTTGCAGTGTTATTACAAGGCGAAGGAAGCGTACACGAACAAAGCGTCGAGACTGATACGGCAAGCAGCGACGATAGACGAGTCGATGCCACCTGCAGGACGCCGCGGGAGTCAGCCGACGTTATCACCTGATCCCGACGAAGGAGGTATAACTATGGATTCCAATTACTACGCATTATATCAATCAAACGTTAGAAAAATTAATAAATAAACTATTCATATACCTATCTATGCAAATAACATTTCTATCCCCACTAATTCTGTCTCCGCTCTATCTTCCTCATTCTTCTCGAGCATGTCACTACCTGTTACGATCGTTTCTACGCGAGCTGGGCTGAAACTCCGAATTTTCTTTTCGATTCCTCGAAGGACGGAGGGCTCGTAGGGACTCATTAAGCCCGGATTCCGCTTCTTATCCGAGGCGACGCGACTCGAAGAGCCATCTGAGCCCGGACAGGAACGTCGATAAAAGGGATCTCAGGAGGCAGTCGGCGTCAATGGCCGGCCGGCCACCCAGGTATCTGTTTCCTATCGATTTTCGTGCGGTGCAGTTGATACCGTTACTCAGTTGATAAAAATCTCAGGTAACTTCGATCGATGATGATAATAATTAACGAAAGAAAATATTTGAGAAAGAAGAAATTTGTCGAGACAATTTGGAAATGTATAATCAGCTTGATTGAATGTATACTAACGAGTAGAAAATAATATTTTACAATTTGTATGGTAAACACGATGAATAGAATATTGCTTTCTTTTTAAGTAGAACTTTTTTCGTTTGTAGTCTTTAGAAATAGCGTGTTAGGAATATTTTGAGACGTGTGATTTCGGTTAAGAGACCATTTTTACACCATTTTTAAGAGACCATGTTTCACGGTATGAAACTAATATGTTTCGCCCCAGGTCTGCTAGTAGGACACGTCGGTAAGGCTCACTTAAAAGTTAACAGATAAGACTCGTCGCGTTGTTTTTAACTGGCAATGCTCGAGTTTCGTTTCGTGAACACTTGATCGTTTTGAATTCTCTATCCTCACTAACCAGTCACTTTTCTATCACTGATGTTTCTTTTGATTGACTTGGAATTCGTTTGCGATTGCAAATGATGTTGGTGGCATTGCATCAGGACGTGGAAAATAGTTTACTGTGCGTGAATATATGAATATTGATATATTCGTGATATATCATAAAATATGAAGCAACTGTGTGATCGTTAATTGATTAATAAATCGATCTTCTTTAAGTTTGGCATAATAGAAGAAAGAAGACAAAATTGTTTATACTGAAAAGTATTCCTTATGACTTAAAATATTATTTCGAAGAAATGTTTTATCGATTATGTATGTACAGGGTGTGCCACTTATCTTGATCATTTCAAATATTTCTATCGCTTTTAACAATATGCACAGTTTATTTCAATGTTAATCAAATTATCAGCATATTTTTTCAAACTTTTCCTTATATCATTAAAAATAAATTTCTTGAAACGATAAAAATAAACAATACGCCCTGTATATAATAGAATTCGATGCAAATTACCCAGATCGAAGTGTTCGAATCATCATTCGCCTCATAACATTCAACAATTAAAGTCAATGGAAAGAGTCAAGTAATTATTCAATTGCTACTAAGTGTAGTTATAGTACATATTTGTTTCTAAGTGTGTTAGGATGGCAGCTGTGTGTGATAGGCTAACAGTTTCTTGTTTTAGATCGCCGGACGGCTCATCCTGTTCCTCGAGGGAGCCGAGTCCTTGCGCTCGAGCGTCATCGAGGAGCGCGCAACAGGCTCCGATCGTGCGAAGACAGTCGGTGACGGATGAAATAATGATGGCCCGCGGTTTTTGGCGACAAAACACCACGGAAGAGATGATACGTTTGAGGAACTTTCGTAAACAGAGCTCGCAGAGCGACGAGGCAGTGAGTTTTATGGTGTTTCTGTGTTGTCTATGGTAAAGTCGGGATAGTTCGACCGGATTTTCATAGAATGTTCAATGTGTTAAACGAGAATGTTCAATAATACATTCAAGTACTAGAATAATAAATGGAAAAATAAACTTCGGAAACTAATTTATGATTTTGGAAATTTATATTAGAAATTTCAAAAATTTATATTAGAACTTTGTGCTATACATTTATATTAGAAATTTCTAAAATTCATAATAGAAATTTTCGAAATTTAACCAAAAATGGGACGATATATTTATTCGTGATTTTTATGCGTGCTTAAATGTGTTGCGAAAAATATATTCACAAGAAAAGGGCAAATCAACCATACAATGGAAAAAATAAAACCTTCAAAGTACATAAATTATTACAAATATACTTACAAAGTATATAAAATTGAGTCAACTACAGTTGATGGTATTTAGTAAAGCAAAAAATACCAAGTATACCGTGGATACAAAAGCAAATGATTAATTATATTTTTGCAGTAGTTATTGATGCGAAATTATAGTAGACTGAGCAACTTTCTCTTGTGTTTTAATTTATTTTAAAATACCACCATTGGTCGGACTATTCCGAACATATTATACATCAGCGAAAATGGAAAAGTTTAAAAAATCTTTCACTTTATCGTTTGATTGTTTCGATGATTTTATTTAGGTTCAACGATTTCGAGGGCGGAGAGACAGCTCGGCGCAAATCACGGACGGCACGTTGGCATCGATGACGGTCGAGACGTCGAGCACCGTTTTCGACAGTAGTACGCAAACTGGTGAGTGATCTGCCTCATAATTTTTTATGAAGCTTGTAAGTTGTTTTGAGATGTTTAACTGTGAAAAAGAACCTGTTTGTAGAACCATGGAATAATATTTTCTTATTCTTGAGTCTGTATTTAGTGGATTGTAGGCCTTATTTGACGATGATGTGTATAATGTACTGTTTTGAAAGGAAGCAGTTGATAAAGAGTCTTTAATTTTGTGCAAATTTGATTCAAATCTGATATTTAATTATCTGCTCTTCGAATTTCGCGCCGTTTGTGGTCGCAATTTACCAGTGGATAACGGAAGCGTAAACTAAACTAAATTAGATCATGGATATTTGTATTTGCATAAAAATCCACAGCCCTTTGGAAGAATTTATTATTAGCGAGGATTGCAACGTGAGAATACTTTCGTTAAAATAGTTGAAAAATGATCAACAACGTTTCTTTATATCGATTATTACCATAAGTGATAAAGTGTTAAGGACTGAATGCATTTAATGGTATTATGAAAATGAAATTAGCTTGAGGAAGACCCTGAGGACATAAGAGGATTAATTTCACGTTATAAATTATCTTCCTTCTCATTCAAACATACCAATCCCTACTCCATAACAATCTACAAAAAGAAGTACAGTAGAACCTCAGTTACGTGAATTAACGAAGGTACAAAAGTATTGATATAAAGAAAACAAGTGGTTAGTGGTTAATTTGATTTAACACCCAATGCAAACTGAAATGAAACTGATAAGTTTCCAATTTCCATATTGACGATAGTTGATTCTGCAACGCCGTATATCTATGTTAGACTTGTATAACAATACGATACAACATGTCAATTGGTACAGCATTAATTCCAAACGGAATCATTCACAAACTAAGTTATTTAATTCACATGATTTACAAACACTTTTATCACAATACATATCTATTCTAGCATGAAATACGCAATTAACGTAACAGAACGTTCAACCAACAGAACCTTCCTACCATAGACCGCCCACATAACAGCTGTTCGTATAAAAGAGGTTCCACCGTGCCACATGAAATTCTACTCGAAACACGCGCCCCATAATCTCGCCATCCCCGTTCAAAATCGAGTTAGCCGGCCATGCGCGCTGGCGGAACCCGGTGGTCGCGATCAGCCGGCGTCTCGACACCGTTCAGCGTCTCCTCGGACGCAGGCGTGGTGCCAGCGTCCGTAGTTCCGACCCAGCGACACTTGGGTGCATGACAGTCAATAGCCTGCCAAATAGAAAACCAGCCCCGAGGAGCTGCTGCCTGGCGAGCGTGTCCTTCTCGTGTCTCGACACCTTTCGCAACCCGCTCCTCCGAAGCCAAGACTCGCGATCCTCTAACTAGTACTCTGATACCCTAAAACCAGCCAAGAGGATCATCATGAAACGACAAACAAGTCGGTGATCGATGATCACCGCGGTGTATCCTGATCGACGATCGAAGCAAGTGTGCATTCCTGCCAAGAACATTCTCCGTGTGCCAAGAAAAAAGAACGTGCAAGCAGATCCTGAAGCTGGCAGATCGTCTAAGACCCAGCAAGAGCCAAAGACAGTGCGTACCAGTAAGCTACCCGCGTGCTGGCAGTCTCGGCGCAACTTACACAGTCTCGGAATCACCTGTTCCTACCTACGGTCTGTTTACCTCCAAGGAATCGATCCCAGTGACCGACAGGACATTAAGATAGGAGCTACTCCTGCGGAATAGGGGATCCAGCTGTTGTAGGTATCGCGTTCCACGCTTTTGGTTTGTATTAGATTATGGGTGGCGTCCTAGGATCAGTGATCTAAGGATCGACACGTCGATAGAGGCTAGGGACACTGTTGGAGGTATGTTTACCTGGTGGTCTCGTGTCCTTGGAGAGAGGAGGGATCAGCGCTGACAGGACGCAACCACTTGTGGCGGTGGCCGTGTGCGAAACAATTTGATACCAGCTTGCCGAGCGACTTGGAAGCCGGCCAAGGTTCGTGCGGTGGACAGTTTCGTTTTCTGGCGGTCGTGTCCTCGTGACCGAGAAGGATCTCGCTGACCGATGTGATCCTTGGGATACGCGGATCGGTGGTGCGCGTGTGATCGGGTCCCGCCTTGTGTTCGCCGCGGACGCGATGCTACCTCGTGTGACATGTGATAAGAAGGTGCACGAGTGATGAGAAAAAGGACTCGTTGTGCGGAGGAAGGATTTTGTTCTGTGGACTGCGACGGGATGAGGTGGACGACTGCCGTCGGGGCCCGGTGTTACAGGTAGGGCTTTTGTTGTTGAATGATGGCCTGCGATGTTTGAGTGGCTTAGAATTAGCGGGGTTTAACACGTTCGCTACCAGCGTTACATATTTGTGACGGCCGTAATCCTATATTTTAGATAATGAACATGAAATTAATGCTATAGATGTTGCTATTAGAAATTATAAACTACGACATTACATTTAGGAACTCAATGTCTCGTTTCTGTTTCATTTTTCTAATATTTTGTTTAGAAGATTTATTGGATTGAAGGAAATATTATAATTGAGGAGACCGTCACCGAAATAACCGCTGGTAGCGAACGTCTTAACTTCTGTTTCTGAGTTCTTGAAGGAAAAGGTGAAATGTTCTTGGATTAGTTGAATGCTAATATTGTAATGTTACTAATGGTATTAATTGTTGACAATTATTCATATTGATAATTGTATCTTCTTCTTGACCACTCAGAAATAGGAGTGTCATTGTTATTCTGAGACATTTAATATTCGGTCCATAGATTTTTGACAAAAATATTCAGGTGATCTGTTGGATATTGTTTTTAAACTATGAATATTATGGAGATGTATAGAGTTGAGTACTTTTTATATTCAATCCTGGAATTTGAATAGTATGATTTAATGTGAACGGAGGTTCTTACTTGCAGTGATAAGGTATTCAAGATTTAATATTTAGTCGATAGATTTATGTGAAACTTATTTGAAGAGGCTAATTTGTAGGATATATTGAAAAGATCCTAATTGTTGACATGCTGAAAATAACAAAAATGTTAAACACATCAAATTATTTGTATGTAATTTAGTAATTTAAATAGTACGATTCAGTGTGCTACATTGTAGTTACTAGCTTCAAGAAAATTATCTCTTGAAGAACGTTTATTTGCCAAAATAATTGAAATTACACCACAAATGCTTCTACAAATTTCTATTTCCATAAAGCCCTATTATACTAAAAGTAAATTGAAATGTAGATTAACGTTAAAATATTCTTGAACATAAAATTTTCCTAAACTAAACTAATCATACTCGCAAATTGATTTTATATATTCAATCTAGGAAGACATTGAAACTTAACAGATAGCACATTTCGTTCCCGGGAAGTTGATCACTCAGTGCTTCACGATGCTCTGCCTCACATTGTGGCTGAAGTTGGAACTTCCGAAACTTGATTTTCCCTTTCGATCGTGCAACTACGTTACCACTCCCCGAGTACGCGTTTACTCGTCGGCCGTAGGAGACGCGTTCGGATTGCGAGAAGGGAACTCGTGCCAGTCGCGAGTATTTTCATCGCGCGTTTTACGAGCCCCGTGATTAGCGAGGCGTAGAAACGCGTCTCGTTAGAACGCTTTTATTGTCCGGCCTGTTTGATCCGGCCGTCTCGTTGAAATTCACCGGCGTGACGCGCGTCATAACCGCGGGAACCGTTCATATCACGATTTTTATGAGCCTCCATGATTGTATCGCATGTTTAACGCTCGCAAAGAATGATCACTGTTCCAGCGCGTGTCCGTAATGTCGTTCGGAGCTGTATCGTTTTTAATTAAACGAGAGAAGTTTGATTTTTCGATGGAAATTGTTTAATGGACAAGTGAACTGTTATAAACTCCAAGGTTGATAAACAGGATACACCTTTATTTTTCTTGTGCTGGGACTGTAAAAAATGTGTCAGTAAAATTAGCATCGTTTAAAGGAAAAAGTGAGCGGGCTTCGAAGTTAAAGATTATTCGAATGAAAAACTTTTTCTTCGATACTTAATTGAATATTTCATTGTATTTAAAAAAAAAGGAATGTGATTAGTATGTTCCTTTCTAATAGAGCATGGGTAAGAATTTCAGTTACACAACTTTGTAATGGAATATTTGGAGTATATTTTACTTTGAGGAAAATGATAATTAGAATTTTTGTAAAATAATGTTCCTTTCAGGAAAACTGTAATTAGAATTTTTGTAAAATAATGTTCCTTTCAGGAAAACTGTAATTAGAATTATTGTGAAATAATCGGGAGAATAGGTTTTTTGGTTTTTTAATAATTCGGGAAGATACCGTTTATCTTATCATATTTGTCGATGCATTTTTTCCTTGGCACTGTTCAAGCAGAAGATAATAATGTGATCTTTGTAATACTATACCTCAAAGATCGTATTGCACGACAAAAGAAAATTGATTGCAAAGAAAACATGAAACCCCGTACCACATTACGTTTCACTATATACTGCTTCGTAAATTACGTTTATCATAAAGAGATTGCAAATTTCATGGAGATAAGCGAACGTTATCGAGAAATAATATAGTTGAAATATTATTAGCATTATGAATATAATTAGCATAATGAAATCTGATGAGGCTTCAATTTGATCGGTTTATTGATAAACAGGTGTTTACGCGAATTTATGATCTTGCTACTCGATTCGCTACCTGTGTTCAATATTCTATTAACTAGAATATGAAAGAAAAATGTTATTCGATTTTATATAACATTTATTTTACTCGATTTTGCATATTTTATTATGCCATAAAAATTCATAGACTGTGAGTGACTAATGGAGGAATACTGTTATGTTAATTAAAAAATTCTGTAGCACTTTTTAAGGGATTCTTTACTTTACAAATAATATGTCAAAGAAAATTAAATATTGATATGAGAGAAATAGTATCTTATTTTGTTTTTTTAAAAAACAAATAGCTTCGATATTTATTAATTTTATTTCAACACCATATTATAAGACTAAACGTTAAAGATAAATGTTATTTCAATTAAAC